TGCATAGGCCTGGAGTTGCGAACCTGGATGCCGACGGTTTGAGTCGGAACCCATGCACTAGCCAGGAGGATGACACTGGAGCTAGGTGGCATGGTGAGGTTGATGAGGAGATGGTGCCCGGTTGGCATGCATCGGCCTTCATGTGTTGGTTACGTGGAGCCTCTAGTAGTGAGGACCACTTGACATCTTACTCTAGTCAGAGAATAGATAGTCAGTCTTTGGATCCTGAGGTTGAGGATGGTGGTGTGAACCAGCGTGATGTTCACGATGATGCGTTGGTGTTGAAGTTCCTACGGACCAGTATGGTGCCAGGCACAGTGGGTGCCAAGGAGCGAGATCGTGTTCTCCAGAGGGCGAAGAGATACCGATTGGAGGGAGCACATGTTCTCCGAGTGTGGGAGGACGGTAGGGTACGAGTAGTACCGCATCCAACTCAGAGAGCACGCATTGTGAGGCATGCTCATGAGTAGTTGGGACATTTTGGAGTGAAGCGTACGTATAGCTTACTCCTAGGTCAGTATTGATGGCGTGGTATGCATACGCAGGTACAGCAGTTGGTATCACGTTGCATGGTTTGTGATCGAGTGAGTGCATCGTTCAATGCCCCGACACCAGAGTTACATCCCTTACCTATCATGGGATTGGGTTACCGTTGGAGTTTGGACTTTGCTGGACCACTACCTTTGACTACACGACATCATCGGTGTGTGCTGGTGATGGTGGAGCATTTCTCCAAGTGGATTGAGTTGGTGGCATTACCTGACAAGGCGAGTGATGGAGTAGCATATGCTTTCCTTGACAGGATGCTTAGTCACTTTGGTGCACCAGCTGAGGTGTTGACCGATCAGGGGACAAAGTTTCAGGTCTTGTGTGACAAGACGCTGATTGATCACCGGACTACTTCCCGAGATCATCCAGAGGCAGATGGTTTGGCTAAGCGGATGGTACAGACGGTGAAGAGAGCGTTGCGCAAGTATGGCCCTCAGAAGGGGCATCTTGGGGACTGGGATATTCAGTTACCATGGCTGGCCATGGGATATCGATTCAGTCGTCAAGCATCCTTGGCTTTGTTTTCACCATATTTTCTATTGTACGGCCGAGATCCAAACTTGCCTGCAGCGATTCGTCGTGAGTCTAGCGAGGTGGTGAACCTTGATGATCCAGATATGTGGGTGAGAGTGTGTTCTTAACGTGTAGTGCTCTTTTGGAGAGTTATGCCTGCAGCGTTCGAGAACCTTGCGATTGCTCAGCACAGGGATACGTTGCGGTATGCAACTATTTGAGGAGGAGGTTATCGACCATCGATTCTTAGGTTCCGTGTGGGAGACTACGTCTATTTACAACAGACTGCACCGACTACGTTGGATGTGACAGCAGGACGCACTATTTTGCGAGTGCGAGAGGTGTTACCTTATGGAGTTCTCATGTTGGAGGGTCGGTGTCGTTTGGAAGGATCATGTGCGCCATGCCACCTCCCAAACGTGGATGGTACTATGGACCCAAGCTTGGCGATTGTACGTGCCGGCTTGAGGTGCATGTTATGTGGGTCAACTGATCAGGCGGCCCATATGTTGGTGTGTGATATGTGTTCTAGGGGATGGCACATGTCGTGCTTGACTCCACCTATCGATGTTGTTCCTAATGGACGATGGATTTGTCCTCGATGTACTTCAGAGGGTAGATGACTTGATCTTCACATGTTATCAATTGCAGATAGACAACTAACGATGGGGCGACATAGCACCCGGCCACACGCGCACCCACAAAGGTGCATAGCATGTAGTTGTAGATAGGGCTACTTGGGAGTTAGAGGGACCTGACCGCCAGCTAGGGGGGCGAGTTGTGATACCTTTGTGTGTGGACACTCTCGTTCCTTGTGTATGTATGTGTGAGTTGTGAGTAGAGCATGGCAGCGATGTATGATGTATGGCGATACCGAGTCGCACGACAGCTGTCATGTGTATACACGTTAGTGCAGTTGCAGATCGACGTTGGTGTCGATTTGAGTTCAGACACGTTGGATTCGAGTGTGAGTCGGGTGACGCTGGGAGTCGGCTAACGTTGAGACGCGGAGCGTAGGCTAGGTCGACTTTACAGGTTTATATTCGTGGCGAACTCGAAGAACTGTCAGTTCTTCGAGTTGAGCCTTACGCGTCGGGGTTTTTCCCCTTAGCTTCGACTTTTAGTCTACCTACGAGTAGTGAGTTTGGTACACACAAATACACAAATACCTTTGTGTATTTGTGTTTCGACATTTTAGTTGTGATACCTTTGTGTGTGGACACTCTCGTTCCTTGTGTATGTATGTGTGAGTTGTGAGTAGAGCATGGCAGCGATGTATGATGTATGGCGATACCGAGTCGCACGACAAATTAAATAATAATTTTATTTTATATTCTTAGAATTTCTCAACTTGATTACACAATTACCTTTTGATAAAGATATTCAGTTAATCTTCCAATTATTGAGTCACTTAATATATACACAATTAAATTTTAAACAGTATTTATTTTAAAAAATGATTTATCTGAATTAAAATTTTAGAGATAGAACAATCTAGCTGTAATAAAATTTCAAATCATCAAAGTTAAAACTCAACAAGATTTTTATTCAATCACAATCAAGGGATGTATCGAGTTGTGTTAAAGTGCAATTCTAATTTTATGCCACAATATCAACTAATCATATAAACTGAAATGCGAGATAAAAACTGACAATTTTGTTCATGTTGTAAATTTAGAGAACTGAAAATGCCCACACACATGCCTGATGAGAAAATCTCTTTTAGCACTATATAATTATATAGCATTTTATTTATGTCTTGAAGCAAAATTAAACACATCAATAACCACTGTCCATCCATCCAAAGTATAACTCTACAATGTACGAAGAACAATCACGGCCACCGAAACTACCGAAAGGCTCATCCACCGTATCCCCAACTTATCTGCTCACTCATGTGCTCTTACAGGCAACCCTGGTCAATGCTGTAACCTGACTTACAGTCTACTGACCAGAGTTCGGGTCGGTGCAACCTAGGTTAGAACTATTCCTACTGCCCTGGTCAAGACAATCCGCCTTGGTCAAGTTACGAAGCTGAGTTCACTTTACTAAACGAACCTGAGGGTTTAATAGGCACCAGGCAGGGTTCAGATCCTGTGAGTGAAAGTAAAAGAATGTAGGGTCAACGAACTGTCGATGGGTAAAACATGTCCTCAGAATCTGCTGTACTGGCTCAATTCAGACGACATTTCAGTGGTCGGCACCCTTTCGAACAGGAAAAGACACGCAGAAATGACAACCTTTCAGAATCAAAGAGACAGTCCCAACTCTGGAGGGAAAGGTGATCAGCTTTCAATCATATCAATGCCTTCACGAAGACGGTGCGCTGCAGTCAAACTGGCCCTTGGAAGTCATAAGCAGCCCACGGTTTTGATGTTCTATGAGCTGAATACTAGGACGGTTCTTCTCGTCACTTGAAGCTCACTCTCGGGACTGAACTCCTCATCACGTGGAGAGAGTCTCCGGGAGGTCTGTTGGAGATTGATTTCAGCAAGCAGACAGTAGGACTCCCCACGATTCACGAGTAGCATATCCAGTACTACAGTTTTCAGTCCAGTCTTCCTGCTTTCCAGCAGGAAGTTGTGATTCGCTGTGCGTTTTGATCTTGTCCTTTTGTCTCATTGTCTATAAACGGACTCTTTTCGATTGCGAGTCCAGTGGTGCTTCCTTTTCCTTTTTCTTTGGTGTTCGTGTCATCATTCTCATGTCTCACAGCAGACATGCAACCCGTAACTTTGGGAGGTATCAGGACCAGGACCAGGCGCCGGCGAATGTTTACCCAGGACAACATCTTCCGCAGAATCGTCGAAAATTACGAATGAACTGTAAATTTCGAAATGGAAAGGAAAAAACTCCAGCAATCTTCTTGTACTCTCTTCTTTGTTGAGATCTCTGGATTTTGTGACACTTTACAAGAGACTCTTGTGCTCGGGCCAGGAGGGCCTTGCTGCGACTACAGGCAGCTCTATCTTTTCTCTTCTTAGTTCTATCTTTCCCGTGACCGAAGGCCAACGAGCTCAGCACTGGTTCAAATCAGCACTGTTACTAAGTGTACCCTCAAACATGATGTTCGGGTTGTCAACAACCTGCACATAGAAGTTTCCAGAAAAGTCCTTGTGAACATCTTTCCCCCATCTTTTGCTCGGGTTTGATCAGGCTTTGTCCGTCAAATCTCTTCGTAACTTTTTGTGGTTTCTGCCATCGGTGTAGGGTTCCATACGTCTCCTTCTTTAAGTTGCTAGAGTTGGGAACAAGAAAATCGCTTTACTTGTCAATCGGCAAAGCGAATCTCCGGCCTTACAATGCAGATAAAACCAACCGATAACCACGGGAGCTCTGCATCAGGAGGCGAGTTGCGCACTGCGAGTCACAGAAAGTTCGGACAATGAAATGGAACTAGTGACATGTAGAATGCAACAATTGAACGAGCTAGACACCAACCCTGGATAGAGTAGTTTCTACAGCAGGCTTAGACTTCGATATGCAGTCTTAAAGCATGGTTTATTCCACAGCCAAACCATGCTGAATGCACGTTTGGTGTGACATAATATGCTTCATTGGCCAGCCACAATGTACCCTTACACCTATGTTGTGTACACCGAAAATCATCACTGTCACCATTCTTTCGATCAAATTACTCTTCTAAGCGCCATGCTTTTTCATTTAAAATTGTGTTAGTGGTGGTTTTGTTAGCACTACTGAGATACAGAGTCCGCATTATTCTCACATCGATTACGCTTAGTGAGACGAACATGCTCGCATGTGTGAAATGAAATGACAACAAATATGATATTTCTAAGTAGTCAATCCTCACATATATTATAGAATAGACTGTCGTACCCTGAAGAAAATAGACCCGAAACTGACGATACTCGATATCATTCCTTACTTAGGCTATTGTGTGAGTCAAGCTCTTCTGCCAACTTGGTTTTCAAATCGAATATTGGATCTCGTCCTTTTATCATATCAGTAAAATTTACAGAAGAGAATATCAGCTCTTGATGATGTTTCAAAAGATAGTATCACCATGGTAAACTTGACTGAACACGCCCTGTCAGCAAAGTTTCATGGAAACCATTTCTCGAAACATATTTTTTGCAACACAAGCTCCAACTCACTAGCAAGTAGTACTGTAATCCTTTCAACCCTTCGTATCACCGACGTCATTTGGTTTAGGTTGTGAGTGGTGATAAACACTTTATCATGAACAAGACATAGCTGTCCAACTGAGTGAAGTAAAACTTGCTGTCAAGCTCAGAGGCTGTACACACCACATCCTAGACGTTTGAACTCTCTTCCCACTAACCCATAGCTGCCTTTAAGGCATCTCCTGCACCCTGAAAGAAGCACCATGAAAGAATAAAATCGGCTATGAAGATGCAGACTAAAGAAATCACAACGGCTGATGTTGTGGATTCTCCAACTCCTTTGGCACCGCCCGCGGTGGTCACACCCCAAGCACAACTGACTATCGAGATGATACCCCCAAATACAACGGACTTGATGGAGGTACTGATCAAGTCCCACGGTTGGAGTGCCCTTGCAGCAGACTCAAGGATAATGTTTGAACTCACATGGTAGACAGAATCTGCGAGGAGGACACTGGCTGCCATACCAACAGAGAAGCAAATGATGGTCAAGATAGGTAGTGATATACAGCAGGCCAATACTCGTGGAGTAATCAGATAGTCAATCGGATCCGTACGCAGCACCCTCAGAGTATCCGTTTGCTCAGAAACCTGCAAAACACAGAAAGCGGATTTATTACAAGAATTGTGATTGTACAACGCTGTAGTAGAGTTTGACGAGGAATAAAGCTGGTTAAGAAACGATCACCCGGGGCAGAGGAGAATGAAGCAAGGATGGATCCAAACCTGCATAGTACCAAGCTCAGCCGCAAAGGCACTGCCCACCCGCCCCGCCAGAATGATAGCAGTAACGACGGGTGAAAGCTCTCTTGCCAAAGCTAAAGCAAGAACACCTCCAACCGACCTAGTTAGACCCAACCTTGCAAATTCTCGAACAAACTGCGAGCAATGACAGCGCCGTCATTAGAGAGTCATGTAACGATCAGAATCCCCAGCTTTCGAAATGAAGGGGCTGAACACAAAAATATATTTTTCTTTCACAGTTTTAGGAATATGAACAAACCTACCTGAATTGTGAAGACCATCCCAACAAAAGATGCAGTGAGGAGACTGACACCGAGCGATCCAGGTCCGACGGATGAAAGTTGTTGTATAGAATTTCGAACGTGGATCTTCCCTTTGATGACTCTCATGATCACCTGACGACAAAGTTCTCATCTCTCAGCTCACAAAAATCTTTCAGATTCAGATAGAAGAGATTGCAAGAGAAATTACATAGCAACACGGGCGTACACTGAATGTGCAGTGACCTTAGACCAAAACTTAAGGCATATGCTGCTCTGATTAATGCTTGCTTTAACAGAATGTCCACGACTTCATTGATAGAAAACAGATCTTTCTACCAAGAACCACATTTGTTAATTATGAAGCGCTAAATGGTGTAATCGAAAACTGTCAATGATATCCATCATACAGCAGGAGTGTCAACAATGATCCTACATCTATAACACCAAATGTAAAGCAGCTGACTAAAGATGAGTATGATCTATTTACAGCTATTGTCAAGGCAACATTGGAGCGCAAGTTTATACCTGGCCTGCGATGAGAAGACATGCCACAGATCTCCAAACATAACGCGGTGGCTTCCAACCAGCAAGCAAAGGGGAGTTCTTTGCTTGCTGCTGAAAATCCATCACAGGTTGAGAAGACACGGAACCATCCTCTTGCTCTCCTAAGCTCGTGCTAGTAGTGGAGATGGAAGCATTGGTGACACCCACCAACTTCTTCCTTTCACCAGCCCTAAGTTTCGAACTTCTATGAGCCCAATTGGGAGGAGTAGTCAAGTGTTTTAAAGAGGAGTGTTTTGAGAGCCAGGCAGCCCTAGCAGATATGAGCTGTCTAGGACTTCTCGAAATGTTGGAGTGGAGCAATCCATGATAAGTAGGTGACAAGAGTGAAGCACTAAGGGAGTTCATACGATTTAAATGGAAGGTGACTGAAAGCGGTGAGTTGAAGAGGTGCGTGTGCAAGGGAGAGGAGATGGATGGCACGGAGCGTAGTGCAGACCCTGAGTTATAAGTCCCAGAGGTCTGCACTAGAGAGAGGTTGCTCGGCTGGTGCTGAAAAGCCCAACGTTGCGACCGACAAGCACCTGCACAAGACGAGAGTGCCATGGATTTTGAGCTCCACCGTACAACTACTCTCCACCATCACTGATTCAGCTTTCATTGGGTATTCACTCCACCACCTTCATTATTTCCATGTCCCCAAAAATCTATGCAAGCGAAGAAAATGCCCAGAACAGAGAGAACCCAGAAAATTGGAAACACGTTCATTGTTACAAATGCTCTCTCCTCCCGCAATTTCCCTCAAGATTCTAGCAACATAAGAGCCGATGAACACCGCGTGCAGCAATCAGCCTCTTCCTCCTTGATTTAGCAACTGATCGGCCACCGACTCACTCACTCAGAAAAACATCTGCTGCACCAAAATGAATAAACGAAACTCTCTTAAGACAACAACAGAGCAAAAAGAGCACAGCACAGGTGAGAAGGCAGTTGGCACACAATCTGAGGGGCGAAAGTGTACAAGAAACTTGTCCAATCCTTCTAAAATCTGCCGTCAGATGTTCGAATCTGTCATGAGAATGTGCTCCATATCCACCCTCCCCTGCATTCTCTGGCTCGATCTTCAACGAAGGGTAGTTAACTCGATCATTAACCCTGGCTACCACAGTCTACTCGGTTACTCCAACCCGGTTAGAGGTCTGTCCTCCTAAAACTAACCCTACGAAGTCCAAAACCATATCCAGCTTTCCTCATTCTGCAGTTACGCCATCCACCCGGCTCTAGCGGTAAAGTTGTAACCATCAGATCAGTTGTGATCTCCACAGTAACCCGGGTAGAGAATTACGTTCGGGTTTCCCAACAGTAGCAGGGGTGAGAGATGGTCTTCACTTTACCTTTACCATTACCCCTATCTGGTTGCGGTGAGAATCTAACCCAGGTTTGTAGAAGCTAGAGTTTGAACTAACTCTGCTTAGAAGGCGTAACCTGAGGTCAGCATGCACACCAACAATAGAATAGGCGGGGTGGCATAGGGACAAATGGCACGACATGGTTCTCTGTCTGTGCGTGCCAGAACTCCACGTGCACCTTTCAGATAACTTTCAGTTTTTGATTTCCGAGGTCTCCAATACTTTCTGAGTTCACCAACTTTAGGTCTTCTGCATGGGGATCGGAGTTTGCATCTCCTTATCGCTGGTTCATTGTACTGCCTTGCCTTCTCTCTTATAGCATTTTATTGTACTTAAACACTATAATTCTGTCAAGTCCCGCCAGAGAGTATATGATAACCCAATACATTAGGTTTATAAATGTGATTTTACAATTATCAATTAAACAGTGTTCAGAATATAATTTCATTCCATATTAACAGAGATATGTATATATATACCAATATTTATGAATTAACGAGATTTTATTATTAATATAATATACAAAATGACTGATTAAAATTAATAACAATGATGTAACCTCTAAAAATTCAATTGATATTTACTTGTTTTTCCTGATCTATGAATGAATGACGTGTTGTATGTTTTTCAGCGTCCCAGGGACTTTTAAATTTTTCATATTGTTTTCAACATCATATATTTCTTGATACAAACCATCTTTAGTTACTATTTAACTTTTTAGACTAAAATAATGATGTCCAACCTCAAAGTTACTTTTATGTTTGTAACTAGAAGTCAAAAATTGAAATCTGTTAGATATAATATAAGTTTATCTAGGATTGTTTCCAAAATCAACCACATAGATTGTTCCTACATATTTTTTGTTTCTTGTGAAGTTTTAATTTTTTAGATCTCATAAAGAATCTTAATATTTCTCAATTATAATCAACTAATATTATTTAAAAAATTCAATTATATTTTTTTAAAAAAATTCAAAGGTAAAAAATGAAAATTATGAATAATAAACGATAAAAAAGTAATTACATAAAATTAAATTTTCTCATCTTATGATGTTAAAAAATATATGTAGGCTCAATCCAATACAAGTCAAATCAATATAAGATAATTGAATTTGACATTCAATGAACTTAATCTATCTTAGTTCAACTATCATGTTCAATGCACATTAATGCCATAAGCATTTTGAAAATCTGATTGATCTTGATGATAAAATAAATATTCACATTTTATAACCCATTATTTATTCATTTGAATAAAAAATTTAATTATCTATCATTATCATAAAATGTGATGTTTGATTTTTTTAAAAATTATATTTTTCGGAAAAAATTCATCGGAGTAACACATGCCTTTCATACATTATGTATGGAAAGGCATGTGTTTGCTACATGTCCAAGGTATGATAATATCATAAAATATAAATCTCATAAAGTAAATGAGTAGAATTTCTATTCTCTACTTATTATGTCTGATGATGATTTGAGTTGTTTTATTATTGATGTCATTATTCATAGTTATAATGTTCTAGGCATTAGCTAGGAGAATGTAATAAGGATCTTTTATGTTTGTTCAGTGAATGAATGACTTGTTATATGTTTTCGATTTTTTTATCACACGCTATTGATCTATATACCATTCATGTAGACTAGTATGAAAGATTGTAAATCGTGTATTTTTTCAAGGAAAAATGATATAATGATATATATTTATATTATTTTTTTCATCAATTCAATCTTATTTCAAATTGTTTCATAAATTTTTTTTGATACGAATATCAATTATGGTACTTTTATATTGCAACTCTAAATAATCCATAGTATCACTTTCAAATCGTCATTTATTCGATTAATTTAATTTAATAGTAATAGTAATTTTAAAATTTTTCATTCTAATCATCTTAGATTTAATCCAAACATTGACCATGTTTTGAATTGAAATTTTAAACATCTTATAATGAAACGATTTTTTCAAAATTGAATTTAGGTAACAATATCAATTTTCAATGTTAGCAATCAGATTTTTGTAACACTTCAAATAAAAATGACAAAACAATTCCAACATAATAATTGACTGGTTAAAAAGCATAATTCAATAATTTAACTTACTTTTCGTTCCAAACACTAATTGGATTTTGTTTTTGTTCAAATGACCACGGAACACTAAGAACACAAACATGTGCTGGGTAAAGTAGATTTGTTTTCACCCATAAATTATGGGTGAAAATTATTCTACCAAAACAAAGCATGATGGGTCATAAATTTTGACCCACAATGCTTTGGTATCATGGATTTATATCTGCAGATAACTCTCCGTTCAATGTACGGCTAACTCTGAAAACAACCAGTAGTATTCAGTTTAGTGTTCGCCTCTAAGTTACGACCTAACTGCCATGAAAGATAAGCAAGAACCTCATCTCGAATTCTGAACAGTAGTTAATGTCTAATATATAAAAAAATTATTCTAAATTTTTGTATTAAATATATTTTAAGTTTTGACAAATTTGTATATATAAGGTTCATACTAACTTACATAACATTGTGATGCTATCGGGACTAGCCTAGGACTACTTTGTGGGGCCTTCCTAATTGGTACTTCCACCTTGAAATTGATACACTTGCGTGTATCGACATCATTCACATGGACCCCCATTTCACTCCAATTGTGGTAGTTCAATGATTCGAAAACCCATGTCAGCTCGAGGTATGCGAATTTCACTTTTTTGGACTGTTGTCCACATGCCGCATACTCTGGAGGGCTTTTACAACGAGGTTTCCCATACAGGGCCTAAGAGCAAAGCGATGTGAAACAGAGCAGAGCAACAACGTAACGTCGCTGGCAAGAAAACCACTGCAGTGGGCAATTGTGAATTGTTGAGAATCTGAGATCCTGAGTGCTCTAGGCTTCATGGATTCTTCTCTGCAGATCGACTTGGTACGCACAAGAGACGTTGATGGTTAATGTTTAATTCTATGTGAAATCTTCAGTTTTAGAGATTCAGCTCTTTTTGAACAGATAAATTGTCCTAGATTCGAGCTCAATTGTCTTGGTGAGTGGAATGCTTGGCGCTGTGGATATGTGAAATTTCTCGGGATTTTTGGTCGACAGTTTTTGTGTAAATCTCAAATTCAAGGACTTCCAGTATGTTTGTTTTTCTTTAACGTCTGTTTGCCTGTAATTGTCTAAAATTAATATCTTACATTTAAATTTGTACATTCCTGGAGTACGTTTTTTCAAATGTTGACTGATTGCTTATATGACTGGATGGTTTTCAGGTTCCTTGTCTTAATGACAATTATGCATATCTGCTTCATGATATGAGTTCAGGAGTCACGGGAATTGTGGACCCTGGTGAAGTCGGGCCTGTAGTAAGGGCTTTGGAAGCCAAGGGCTATACTCTGGATTTCATATTCAATACTCATCATCATGCCGATCACACAGGTGGAAATTTGGGTTTGAAGAAGAAGTATGATGCAAAGGTAATGGGCTTACAAACACTGCTGGCTTTGGGTTGCGTTGTTATGAGCTAAAACCAGGGTCAAAGAAATGGAATTTATTGCTATAAAATTTAAGGTATCATGTACAATTCTTCATACTAATCAGTTCAGCTACTTTTCCTCGGGTACTTTGAATGATACAATTTGTTGGAGTTATCTTTTGTACACAGGTCGTGGGACCAAAGGTGGATAAGGCTAGGATTCCAGGAATTGATATTCCTTTGAGCGATGAGACCTGGAAGTTTGGAAATCATGAGTTTAGGGCCATCTTCACTCCTGGTCATACTCTGGGTAAGATTTGCTCCTGGCCATGCTTCTCACATTCTTTGGATTCAGTTCATGATCTTTCCTGACTCTCGGGCCATTTCACTTCTGGTCATACAGTTGGGAAGGTTTGTTCTGATGACCATTCATATGCCCATTGTTGAGATTCAGTTCATTCTACCGTACTCTTCAGTTTAACATTGAACTCCGGAAGAACTTGCACACGAGTCGAAGTCGAAGTTTGTTACTTCTTTACTCTGTTACGATATGCTCTGATCTTCAAACTCATGATGGTCGCAGAAAGTGCCTGGGCTTCAAGTTAGCCTTTTTAAAAATTTTCGATTTTGTTCAGATTCACACTTTATGGAATGTGTATCTATGTATGCAGATATTGTAAAAGGATCATCAAGGAAACTGGGCAGAGGACTAAGAAGGGATTCAAGACGGATGCCTGAAATCAAGGAAGAAATTGGGATGAGTGAATGTGAAAGATAGCTACAGAATATGTCGGAGGGTTGCAAAACTTTTGGGTAAAGAATCAGGAAGCATCCAATTGAAGCGGAGGAATCAAGAGTCTTGTGGATAGGAATTGGATTGATGAATTTTGAGATTTCTTTAGAGCTAAAGAAGTTTGAGTATGGCCAAAAGTTTATATGAACCTTAATCTCTACGCTAACTTGTACTTTGACTGCATTTAATGTGTGTGTTTTCGGTAACTTTTAGTGTCTTCCCTAGAGTAAGCCTGTACAAAACTAACGTGTCTGCATGCACCTTCTAAACTCCCAGGTAGTTAGAGCTGGCTTGTATCTAGGGACTCTCTATCTAGCAATTAGTTCTTTGTTGTTGGACATTCCTTCCATAAGTTCCCATAGACCTGTTGAATTCCCCTGGACTTTCGTTGAATCGTTTATTCTTACTGTCTTCTATGAACTTTCAACTGTTTAATATGCCATATGATTGCTTCTTCTCAAAATAAATTTGTAAGTGTTTGGTCTGAATTTAATTTAGGCAAGCAGAAAAGAAGTACCCGAGTGGTCGTTGTCTGGATTTTTGTTTCTCTTTCTATTTGACCTCAACTAGCTGCAAAATCAGAGGATGTTGTTTGTTCAGCAACATTTAGCCCTACTCCGACGTGGATGAGTGAGTGAAGGTTTCCCCAATTACGCTTGAAAACGTTGTGCTAATATCTTTACTGGGGACAAATTCCACCAGAATATAGGGCCAATCCTTTTGTACTTTTCGTCCTTCCTACTTCTTCCTCAGCACTCGTCAAAAGCACTGCACAACATGGGTTTTGGAGTCTTCAGACCATAGTAGGAGATACTAACTAGTACAACGACTCTATTTCTGTTCGCAAAGAGCATCCAATTTGAATCATGCAGAAGGTATCAGAGGCCTTCTCATGGATTATCTTATGAAGAAATTAGTAGTACCAGTACTGAATTCGCTTACCAGTACTGAATGTTATCATCTAGATTTTAACTACATTTCAGCCACAGGAAGGTTTTGTTTGAATAGTTCTGATGCAAAAAAATTGTCTGTGCAGGACATGTGTGCTACTATTTCCCAGAATCAAAAGCTGTCTTCACGGGTGACACCTTGTTCTCTGTAGGATGTGGAAGAGTATTTGAAGGAACCATGGACCAGGTACTATGTTATTCAGTATATGATGATTTTTAGTTTGCTCTTGGCATCATGTGTAGACGTGGAAGGTTTTTTTGGAAGATGGACTGATTTATGGTACGGAAGAGACCTTAGACAAAGTAGTAGAAGAATCTCCTGAGATGTATTTCCGCTTGCAACTAATTTTTTTTACCGAGATGGGATCGAGAGCATAAGAGCAATCTTCGTTAAAGAATTTCATTACGCAATATATGATCACATGCAATTTTGCAGTTAAACCACCACTATGTCAATACAGATAATTTAGCCATAAAGTTTGAAAAAATTCTCAAGTCCATATGAGGGAAACGATTATGATTTCAATTCGTCACAGCTGCCTAATCTGGATGTACTCTCTGCGTGTCTTTCGCCTCATGTGCGACAGCTATTTATTCTATTGATAATATTGTACATAAAAGTGTTACAGATATGAGTAAATGCATCCTATATTAGATGTGAAATGAATACTATATACCAGTGATTTAGAAATGGATTAATACGGTTAATCAGAAACAGACAGAGATTGTACAGGTTAATGTTTTTCTGACCGCTGGGTGTTCCTACGCTGTTTCTTCAGATGTGGAGTTCTCTCTCGACTTTATCCTTACTGCCAGAGGATACCAGAGCGTTCGTTGGTCATGAATACACTGCGGTATGTCCTAACTGTTATTCAACTTAGTCCGTAAAATTGGCAATTAGAATCTCGAGCTCGACGATGTTAGCTCTGTAAAGAAGTATACTGCAGATATGGATAAAAAACGATTCAAAATGTGAGAAGGTTCGCTAACAACCCACAAGACGTTTATCAATCAGACAAGCAGTAGAAAACAGAACTTTGGATATGTGATATGTCAATGAGGATGTAATCTTTCGATAGCAGGTGTATCTATCCGTCAAACATCTCATTCCTCTTACTTGTGGCAACCAGTCAAATATAAGGTTTGCAGTGACCGTCGAACCACACAATGAAGATTTGCTCTCTCAACGACAGTTAGTCGAACAACTGCGTCAAAAAGGTCAACCCACGGTATGTATCTTTCTCTACACGGAACTGGATAACTAGAACCAGTCAGTTAGTGTAGTTACTACCAGAACAGTTTGAGTGTTGTTCCTGTCAAAAATGCTCTATATTCAGTGTGCAAATATAGATGCTTTGTGCACTGTACTTCAGTGCACAAAGCATTCAATGAGGTACCAAATGATGTAAGTATCCCTCATAACTCATCAGATCGATATTGTCCCCACGTACTCATATGTTTTGATTCTGTATTGTTTAGATTCCTACTACTATCGGACAGGAGAACAGCTTCAACCCATTTCTGCGACCTTTCGTTGAATCAGTGCGCCAGAGTTTGAATAAATCAGCTTCGGAAAATAATGTAGAAGTTTTTACGGCACTACGCCTCGCCAAGGACAAGTTCTAGAACGTGCACCAAGAGTCACTTGTCAGGGAGGGTTGCGTTATACAATAATCTTAGACCAGATTTTCATCCTTGCACTGTATTTGCATGACAAGGACACGGAAGAACGCTGTGACCATTCACTCAACTTCGATCACAGATTTGTCATTCAAACTCATCTTAAATTAATTACACCTGTAGGTCTATTCAATCCTGAATCAGTATTCTACGCTCGCACATCTCTTGCTTGTTACCTCTTCTGTGAATTTAACAGGTTATTGTCCCAATACGTTGTCAACGCCTGTTGAGATACAACAACGACAAGTTGGATTCCTTTCGTTGCTTCAAGTGCTCTTACATGTACGACCACAATCTAAATTGTGAGCCTTTCACCAAAAATAATTTCTTCCGTGTACGATGATAACCATCATTCATGTTACTGTCTCCATATGAATTTGAAATCTCACATGGCCCTGCCGCTCGTACTAGAGTACTTGTATTCGGTCTTGCCGGACATATATCAATTGTTATCAGATGTCCATCAAATAATCAATCCAGGTTTCCGCTTGTGGTGTGATACTGTACTGATTTTGTTGTAATCATCCACACTCGACCAATGGTTTCATGTATCATGACTATGATGTAAAGGTTTGTTGTAAGCTTTGTCGTCACAAAATGTTTGTCCTATTTTGGCAAACTAATTGTTATTATGAGCACTGGCGTCTTTGAGTTTTTGTAATTGTCTTTTCTCTTTCACTATTTTGTAATCCCATATTCGTATGTAAATCGTTTGTGAGAAAACAGTTGCAAATCTGGACATATAAGGATACAATTTTGTTCACATTGTCTGAAAGATTTGAACAAGCAATTATCATAATAATACTTAAGGGTTTTAATTGTCGTCTAAATGACTTTGAGTCAAATCGACACACAAGTCTATGATAGCCAAAGTTGAGGGACAAACGGTTGGGTCTTAATTAACACAAGTGCGAATTGCGTGTGAGCAAGGAAGATAATTACATTCACTAATAATATCCCTTGTCTTGGGAAGGGAGTTTTGCAGAAAGTACATGTTTGCCAACTTCATGTACCGATGGAAACAGCGACACAATGAAGTGAAATAAGATGAAATGTCCTCCTCATATGAAGGACGCCATCATGTTAACACCGTAATCTAGAGCTACAGTATATGAGCTGTAGAACTGCATGCACTTGGACCTCACTGTTCCACCTCGTCAAACAATCCACAGGAATCTCGAGTTGTTCGAAGCACACCACGTTATAAGTATGAAGGCGTGAGAGTGAACATGCCTCACACAATGATCGCTTGAAAGCAATCAGACACATACATCGAGTCGGTAGTGGGTGTTGACCGACGTCAAAATCGTTGCAGCCTTTACCTTCTCACGAAAAGTTGCGTAAAGGATATGATCATATTCTCAAAATATCAGATGTACTTATCAGCAAATGTTTTTAACTCTATGTATAACGTACATCGCTCAACCATATGTCCTTTCAAAGTGTTCACCTTTCCACGAGAAATCTCGGTGAGCGGGGTAAAACTTAGTAACAGAGCATGTTTCAGGAACCTGCTAATTTGACCTGACTTATCTGCATGCACTTCATCTAATCACAGCCGACACTGTCGACAGCCTGATTTATTGAGCCATGGTGTTGATTTCCGCAATACTGTCTGTCTGTCACGCTAGTAACATCGGGCAGAATTCAACTATTTGAGTCGTAGGCATCTTCGTGTAAGAATAAAATTATAAAGAGACCAGGAAGCCTTTATCCTGAATAGTCTGAAGAATGAAACAAAGATCTGGATCACGCAAGCGAAATTTTAATCATGTCCATGAGAGATGTTCATTTGCCTGTAAACACCTCGTTGCTCAGCGAGGTGTTTCCAAGGTTTCCAAATGTCAATCTGATATAGTGAACCAAAGACTGAAAATATAGCCAGATCTGCTCATAACATGTGTACATTATCCCAGAATTGTCCACGAATTGTCGAGTGATTTTACACAGCGATTCAGCGGCAAGCAGTCCACGGTTGAAATGAGAAAGCCAAACGTGCATGAAGATATTGCTTGAGCCCTACCTTCCGACTTTTTGTCCTGGACCAACTTTCATGCGTTTTGTCTCGTCTTTTGGAGAACATGGAGCTCACAAGCTACGGCACGCAAAGGCGGGAACATTCTGGAACACGAAAACTCAGATCGCTCTGTCGCTGGCTGTCTCCGCATCTTTTAACCTCGCAAAGCTGGGCACAGCGACAGGAATTTACGAAGACGGTGATCAACAAAGCGCAAGCTGAGAAAGCTCGAGGCGACCGAGTCGCGCCTTTTGAGCACAGCTCACGAGACAGTCGGAGGCTGCCAAAGCAGGAAGACAAAATAGTCGTCCACGCTGACGGCCGCGAGATGATGCCCGTCACCGGTACGGCTTTCAACACATCGACAGGTACCGACATTCGTGCCACGTGGAGTCCACCACATGGCTTCCGGAAGTTTCCTCCGTCCTACGTCACCCGAGCGCTTCCAGGTGACTGGACGGACTGACATGGCTCTACGCCTCTCCCGTCAACGATCTTGGAGGACTATCCATACGGCCAAAACTAACACCTCGGTGTCAAGGGAGGAGGTTATTATTGGTCGGCTCGTCGGGCGTTGCGGCACACATGGCATGCGCTGTTGCACGCTCCGGCACTCTGAACTGCCTCCTGTAGTACGCTCGTACCCTACATCCATGTTTGTATGTATGTATGTATGCATGCTGCGCTGTGGGAGGATGTCTATCCGCATATTTTTGGTGGGTCCCACGGTCTGTCCCATACTCCGACGTGCATAAAGCTTTCTCCGTTAGATACCCATTCACTACAATCCCTTTAGGGGCTTCATTGTATTTTCTTATCCTTTTTCTTTTAAGCCATTTACGTGGTCCCTGATTATCTGTAATACATGCACTGAATATATATATATATATATATATATATATGGCAGTTTCAACTGCAAAGTATACGGCCTCATGTGCATTATGTGACACAGCTTTCGTGGACTTTCCCTCCTCCCTACCCCAGATTTGCTGTGCGAGAAAATTGCTAGTAAGGACACAAATTAAAGACGCAGAAATAATAAGAACAAAGACTCTACAAGATGCAAAATATTTCCAGATCTTGAAAGATTCGAAAATAAAGTAAAATCTAAGATTGCGAACAAGTCTGAATAGAAATGCCAGTCGGTAGCCAACGAAGCTCAGAAAAAGATGATTAAATCCTAGGAAAGAGAGACTAGCGCAGGAAGACTGGACATAATATATGGCTACCTTCGAAAAACCTTTTCTTAGAGGTTAGCACAAGGACACAACATCGCATAGCTGGACACATCCATTGGACAAGAATCTTGAGAATTTATTTATGCAGGCGATAAACTGACCGTTGAGGTGCTGGTGAGACGCCGACAGATAGCATTTTCTAACGTAATGTTATTGGTGCCGTTACCAGTTCGATTTCATCCACGTACTGTTAGATTGGTCTTGCCTTCCTTTTTAATATGCATTACTTGGTCCCTGCGCTTTTTGGAAATACATTACCGTCATGTCACGAATCTTTCGATTCGATCCTGTTCTACTGAAGTGGTTGGGGTTTGGATTGAAACAGATACCCAGATCGAACTCTTACGGGAAGTTAAGCTCAGTTTTAAATCTTTGTGAAAATAAGTAGTAGACGTTAGATTGAACTCAGATGTAGAGGAACGATGAAGACCGATTATTTTATTATCACAATGTTTTACAAGGCAACATTTAGTCAATTGAACTTAGAACTGGAGAGAATGCAACCTTCGGATCGCCATCGGACGATGGGCGAGACTTGTCTTTAGTGGAGGAGCTTTTCCTGGAGCTCCTCCTCGGGTTCCGAAACGGGAGCTGTCAGCATATCACAAACGATCAGCTGAAATGGAGACACGAGAAAATTTGTTGAGTCAGATCTTGAAAGCAGGCCATCGCAGAATCCAGTCCTTTGCAAGGCAGGTTGGGGCAGTGGGATGCTGAGCAGTGCAGTGGCGGTAGGTTCCACAGTAGCGCAGAAACATAGACACACGAGTTTTGTCATCCCGAGTGAGAGCTTAGTTGAGCTTTTCATGATCTGAGACGAGATGAGGTGAGATATGATCTGATATGAGAGGTAAGTCTCAGTTGTGCATGACCACACGGAATGAAATTGCTCAAGCTTCTGTGCAGAAGTAGAGGTGTGCGAGCTTGGGCTCTTCGTGGCCGAATCCGAGGGTGGTGACGTTCGTGGGGAAGCTCGAGCCGGATGGATGCTGGGATGACTGCAAGAATTCGAGCAAGTCCAAGGTCTAGGCTCTGGCAGATCTAGATAGAAGTGGTCCGCTAGCTTCTGTTCAGTTGTATAGCAGATTTCAGCAGCCAAATCCATTCTCCACGGTATCATGAGCTTCGCGTTCTTTTGTTAGCTTGAAGACACAGTGTTGTGGGAGAGGCTTGGGCAAACTACAAAATGTCGATACACTCGAAAGTTTGCATTGCGCCCAGGAACTGGCGAGCCCACTTTGCAAATCTACGATGGAACAAGCTGATATATGATCAGATCAATGGCATTGAAAAAGGCGAGGAGACCACCAGTTTGCAGAGACCTTTGAAGCTGGGTAAACGAAAGAGCTTCCGGAAACGATTGAGGTCCTTCAGAGTTCGGGTTTCTAGAATCCGGATTCGTGTCAAGATTTCTCCCACGCTCTGGCTCAAGAAGTTTGCAGATGCCTACGTGCAGATGATGGTTGGAGTCCAGGACCAACTCGGAAGCGGTGGAGGATTAGTCATGGGATTTCACTCCATGTATCCTGCTAAGAGTCCTTATCGTGTCGCGCAGTGACGAGCATACATACTTCCCCTTGTATTATAGCATGTGCTCGATCTCTCTGGAAGTGACATCTTATGATGCAGATTTGAATCAGTGTACAGCGCCTCAATTGGAGTATGAAGGTTCCAATGACAGCTCTCTTTTGTACATAATACCGTGAGGCACCATTTTCTCTCAAACATTTGATATGCATATGCGTGGATGACGTGTTTCAACGCAATTGCAGTTGCTGGCTATCTGACGCCAAACGGAAGTAGACTTTGCAAATGTGTGCATGTTAGAGCTCTTTGGAGGTCAACCATCACGATTTTCAAAATTGATACAGTTAATATCGAATCATCAAGTACATGCTACATTTGCTCAGAACTATGCTCTAGCTGTCATCATCAGCCGTGTACTTTACGCATTTCTGGCGCGTTGGTAAGACAGCTCTCTATGTTACCTCCAGATTATTGCAAGGTTACATCGATGTACCTCCTGTAGTACTTTAGAATGTGTAGAGGTGCATGGTTGACAACCAGATACTAAGCGTTACGCTGAAGATCGGTGTGTTGTGAAAGGGTCGTGGAGTACTTGTGTGTCAAGTGCAGCATATTGATTGTCATAGAAATTCCAGACTCGTCGTTCTTTGAGATGGATCTCTTCTCGGGATCTGGAGATCTGAATCTTAACAGTTATGGCTGCTTAGTAGTGCCCCTCTGCGACATGGACCTCTACGCCATGGAGAGAGATCCACTGGATAAGCTATTGTCAAGGAGTCTCGGGTTTCTAGTGATTACCTTCTCCTAGGAATCTTGTAAAACTAAGTGGTGTTCAAGATCTGATGAGCAAATTTCCGTTGCTTCTACAGATGGATCCCTCCCTCATAGTCTCTACTCTAAAGGATACAATTTTTGTGTGCGAAGAGAATTTCGCCTACCTACTCATCAACATATATTTGTCAAAACAATATCTTTGCAGTCGTGCGTCCCCACACTTGTTCTAAGTCTCTTCAAGGGAATGAGGAATATAAAAAGATGAATGGGTAGACAACATGTACAGGGACGAATCCAACGGAGTAGGATGAGCGTATGCCCCCCACTTGTTTCAGATCACTTGAGAATATCCACACATGCATTTCAATTGTTCTTCTTGCCTTATTACTTGGTTCTCATGCCAGCGACAAGGTCACTTGTCTGGAAAGGTGTCAGTGCATGCATGTACCAGTCCCCGTTGTCTTTTTCATGCATGCATATTTGTATGGACGGTATGGAAGTGTATAATGATATGGAGGTGTATAAGAAAACTTCAAAGTTGGATCATTGCAATCGGACTTTCTTTCCGTATATTCCAGATGAGTAACGCTAGTTGCAGATAACATTCTGCAAAGAAGTGGCCCTCAAAAGAGTCAAGAACACATGTAGTGTTGGACCGTATTTAGTTCTATGATCTTCATTGGTTGCAGGTTCCATAACTTGCAAGCGAGGAACATATCATTTGGATCGAAAGTAATAACGTATAGTTGGATTTTGGAGAGAAGTTTTGATAAAACATAGGTCTTATAAAGTCATATTTATGGCATGTTAATTTTTCTAAATCGATAAGGTCTCCGCGTAGGCTTGTTTCAACCTTCTGTATCTTCGTTAATCACTTCTTAGTTTGAAAATGCGATGCAGAGGGAAATCTCCACATATATATGCGCTACGTTATAAAGTAATCCCATATCAGCCGGCTGATACTCCTTCCTGCTATGTCCAGTACCTAGGCCAAGAGACATTCCACCTCGGTGAGGCTCGGTCTTCGACGTGATTTATTAGTTGCAGCTGTGCTTTACTCAACAAGGTGGCCAACGAAAGGAGTAAGCGACCTGACAACTCCTAACACGACATAGGCTAACCAGCTGGATTCCCCTACTGACTAATCTCGAGATCCAAAATCCAGCAGAGACTAGTATTTTTGTTAAGGGTATATTGCCAAGATTCTCGAGGTTAACTGCAACTGGGATTCTGGATAGATATGGCGTCCCTCTCAGCTTTTAGAAATCCTTCGGCATAATGCTCTGAATTAGATCTGTGTCCTGTAACATAGTCTTATTTTGTGCACTAACCGTTGTCCAGACACCTGACTCTCACGTCGCCAGCGCATCATAGTTTACTGCATTCCCCTCATCACACGACCATATCCCAAAATGCCAAAATCTGTAAGCCCAGCTGCATTCCTCAGCTGCATTCACACTAATCCTAGATCTCCGCAGCGAATCTGAGCACCGTTTCTTACTTATAACGAATGGTTTCAGACCACACGCCTAGCAGACCATTCATATCTAAAATGCCACTACTTGTTCCTCGAACTGTCCGAAGTCACTACTGTCAGTACTGTGGGTGTCTGCGGCGTTTACCTTGGGCTCAGATGCTTCTTGGATTTGTGTTATTGAGCTTCAGACTTTGAAGCCTGGCTCAACGAATCAGTCTTTCACTCAATTCCAGGATCTTCATTAGTTCAGTGAGGCAGAGAAGTACTGTGTCATGAGTAGAATGCACTCACTGGAAGTGGAATGTATTGACATTAAACTTACACTAGGACTGCCACGGAATCTGTGCACGCCAGCATTCTCGAGAAACTTCACGAGTTGGACGAGAGCTTTTCATGATTACTACGACTGTGACAGCACACAGCACCGAGAACTAAGATGTACAATGCCCGAGGTTCTGAACCCGCTGCAGCCTGTTATCTGGTTAGATGTCATATTGCAATTCCGCTGGCGATATTCACCACGAAGAGGAATTCGAGTACGTCCACACAGCACGGGGCCATCGAGATCCGTAGTCTGGCAACGGTATCCAAGTCCTAAACAACATGATTATTAATGCTGAAGCAGAACAGTCTGTAAGTTTCTTGTAGAGGGAGGGTCTGATATAGGGAATTCTTGAATCCCCTTATGCAGTGAGATTCCTGCCCTGTGGTCTATAAACTGATGAGAACTGTTCAGAAGAGATATTTTCGTTCACAACATGCCTGCTCTTGGCTTTTACATGACTCACAGCTTGGGAACTTTTTCAGTCGAACTCGAAACTTGGACATGTCGAGGCAGAGGGAAGACTTCACAGATGTTGGCCGGTACGTACGTTGTCAATAGAACTACTGTACCTTGTCATGAAGAGCTGTTACTTGATGTTCATATGATAAACATGACTTTCAACTGGAAACCAACGTTCCAGCCTCCTTACATTCTTCACCAGAAACCGGCCTGGAGTCCACAGTACTGCACCAAGCTACTTGAACTTGACTTAATGAAGTATCATCAAGACCACCGAAGATTTTCTATCCAATACTTGTTGAGCTTGAAATTTGCTGCATGCTTCGACCTGGAGCTTGTCGCTATTCCCTGCATTGGCCTGAAACCGGGTCACCGAGAACGTTATGGACATACTACGTGACCACCTTGCGAGATACTTCTAACGGAATTTTGTCTTTGTGGTGGAAATTATCCGTGTGACAAATTCGGATCGGAAGATCTGGGCAACACTTTCATCGCTACGTGGACACATGCGCTGCACTCAGCTATCAAAGTTACAAACGACAAAAGAAGGTTCCCATTTCATGTCCAATCTGACATCGCAAACGTACGAAACGCAAACGTACCCGCCTCTTAAATCTCACAGAGAAGATGTAAATACTTGACAGAGTTAAATGGCGGAGTCCACAATTTTTAGTATGAAGACTTCATCTAGAAAAGAGTGGAAAAGTCTGACGGCATTTCGAGAGACATTTAGACAAAAAGCCTTAACTGTAGATTGGAAACTGCAATCGTGGAAGTTAGTTTGTTCAGATACAATACGTTTGTGAATTTCTCAATAAAATTATCAAAATGGCAAAAAGCCTAAGTAAGAGGAACAATGGAGAGTCATGATATACGAGGACTAATCAAAGGTTTGGTTTGAACATACGTGATTGTTTATACCGTTTAAATGTGTTCATGCTTCATAACCCCCACGTGCTCGAACCAGATTAAGAAGTTCTAAGAAATTAGTAGTTGTCCTTTTATGGTATGTTACTAATATCTAAACGAAGATATTGCTAAAGATGAATTCTCTCATATTTTTCAATTTTTTATCCCAATTTTACTGACATAAAACTGTGAGTGCTCTGATCGTAAAGTATCTGTAAGTATTGGCTGTCATTCTTGTGTTAACGATATCTATCCATAGAGTACCAAGATTCCTGTTTTATCTTGGTCTTCCATGGAGAAAATTGGTGTTGAAGTTTCCAAACCTCATGCCAATTTCGGGATATCTCATTGAATGCAATAGCACTTCGATTATCACAATGCATCCTGGTCACAATAACTTGTGTTTCGGCAAGACAGCTCAACAATCCCTCTAACCAATTTGCTTCATTCGTATCTTGTAAAACACACATATTTCAGCTCCAGAAGTTGATAAAAAAATTCAATTTTATCTCTACCTTGCACAATTGATACTGCCTGAACAAGAAATAATTAAGAATTAGTTTATTTTTGTATTTATCATCAGCCCAGTTTGGATCTAAAATACTCAATAAGACTTAGTATTTTCACTTAAACCTCCATCAACCCTCAAACTTTAGTTGAAACTCCCCTTAAACTATCAACTTTTTATTGATTTCACCTATCTTCAATTTTTTTAAATTTTTTTTTGAAGTATATGGAACTGTAGGTTGTTGCATTCCGTGTTCCAAAAATAGAGTGCAACCCTTGGAAGGTTTTCACTTTATTTTTCCTGAAGATCTCTGACTCTTTTTAGATGATAATAACTTGAGCGTGAATCCATGTACTGTACTTCTGTCAAAAGGCTGCGAGAACTGAAGTCACCAAAACTAAAGATCAGAACTGCACAAGTAAAGCCTCCACATTATTAAGACCGACAAAAAAATTATCCTTTCCAAGGATATCATTATGAACCCCATGCAACTTATGAGCGAAGGACAGACCAACGTCAAAATGACTCCGGGATGTTCTTTCAAACATGACGTCTCTTGTGATGTCATGCCATTTATTTCAACATACAAGTTCTTAAATTTCGTTTTAAATTGAAAGTATCCAGTCAACAGTGGGTTTACGACTTTTTCGGGATGGAAAAATCAAGATCTCTTGTGATGGCATGAGTGATTATATCCAGCCATTACATTGTACGAGCTTTTGCTTTTCAATAATGAAGTT